TGTTATCATCATCAATGTACAAGAATTGGGGAGGACAAACCCTGAAGGCTTTGTTCGAGCCATTTGGATTGCTTTGTTCTGATGTGGCTGGCCCACCACCATGAACACGCATTGCTTGCAGCTCTCTGCAACATCTTTTTTTTTTTTTATTAATTTCCAATATTAATCTGGAAATTAATTATTTTATCAATAAAATGTTGTCAAATATTAAAATCAGAAAACTCTTTCTTCCTGTACATGATTCACATGGCAATATGATCGAGAATAACGAAAAGAAAGAGTTTCATAATAAAAAGAAAATAAAATTAAATTAAATTAAATTAAATAAAAAAAAGAAGGAATTATAAGGAGAATCCATGGTTTTTAATTTATGTTTTATATTTTTTTGTATGTTTGGCAAGATGATTGGGCTGTCAGTATTTTTCGGCTCCAAAATTAGCGTTATGCCCTTGAAATATAGAATTTCTGCTTGAAATAGATGTTAGCCACCAATTTGGAAAGCCAACATTTTTTAACAATGGAGAGAGGCAGCAACTTTGTTTTTTTGTTGAAAAATGGGGCTTTAATTCATCTATAAATAGCACCAATTCCAAGTGCTGAAACACCACAACAACAACCAAAAATATAACAACAGAGAAAGAGAGAGAAAAAGAGTAGAGAGAGTGTATTCATACGGGCTTGTGTGAGTTGTAACATTCGGTTTATCCTCTTCTTCTAGTTCATTTTCCTGGCTTGGTTCGCCCCCAGACGTAGGATTTAATCCGAACTGAGTTAACAAATCTTCGTGTCTTTTATTGATTTTACATTGGTGTGTTATTATTATTCCATTTTATCCGACCTTATTTCCCGACAATAGAGACACCATTCAACATGCAATTATAATAAACAGAACCTATATATATATATATATATATGATAATCAGAGCCTATGTTATTTGGTATAAAAAATTAATAACTTCTATCCAAGCCAAACTACAAAATATAATATTTTGTCACGTATAAGATTACGAAGCGTGTGAAACTACCATAATGTTAATTCAGACGACTTGACGTAAAGAGCACTCAAAATATTTCATCTTCATATCAGTATATATTCAGCGAATTAGTGGCATAAAGGTCGTCTTTATTCGTAGAATTTCAAGATCACACTTTTTCAATATAAAAAAGTATTCAATATAAAAGCATTGTACAATTTTTTATGACTTCACTAAGGAGCTGTTAAAAAAAAGGTGTGAGCCTCGTTAAGGCTCTGTGTTCTGCTAGCTTAAACTCAAAAATAAAAATGTTATATAATTTTCTATATGGCGGCTTCAAAAGGTTCGAATTTAGCTCATTATTATTGACAAATGAGTTGAGCTCAAATTTAGCTCTTAAATGTTGATAACGAGCCGAGTTCGAGCTTATGTAACTACGGAGTCGAGCTCAACTCGGCGTGATAAAGATAACGAGTCTTAAGTTCATCCTAGACATCTCTGGCTGTGTCGTATGTATTTGGAAACACAGTTTAAAAACAAGGCAAAACTAGACTGTTTGTCCTAAACCAAGTAATATACAGTGTAGGAGTCGAAATTGTACTGTCGGCGAAACCGCCTTTGTTCTTCACGCTGAGCGCAATGAGGACAACACGCGACCAAGAAACACAATTCCCGTCGTTGAATGGTTAATCAACAATAAGTGCGCCTGAATTGTTGCTAGCGTGCAAATAGTAGGGGGAAGCAAGATCACCGGTGGAATTCAAAACATCAGCCATCTATGGATTTATCGAGAATCAACAGCTATGTATAGATCGAGTTTGATCAATCGAAAATCATAGAACAACAATTGTAAATCAAAGAGATAAACGGCGGATCGCAGGCAATTGATTCCATGTTGGATTAAAGAATCGATCAAAAGAGATGAAGAGAGAAAGCGAGAGTGATGCAAGAAGAAAAGGAAAATTTCTTGTATTCAGATTTTGGGAGAATTAACAGTAGTTTACATGGTGTGGTTTGTGTTCTTTTATACATAGGGTTACATGGGAATAAAGTAGTAATTTTACAAGGGAAGCCTATAGTTGCTATTGAAAATAAATATAGTAGTGATTTTACAAGGTTACAAAGGCAAGCCTATAGTTGCAATTTGTTCAATAGCAACTTTACAACACTTACTAACCTATATACTAATAAGACCTGTGCCCAAGGTCGAGTATCAGAAACTCGAGCTCGACTGGCTCGTCTACAACTTTAATCATTATTCAGTACTAAGTCAATGTTAGCCTCTTATGTGCTAAGCAATAATCACTATGTCCATTGAGGAACATGCCAACTAATTTAAAAACTTTTAATTTATATATAATATATTTCTTGCAAATACTAATAGAAGTAACAAAAATAAAGCTAAAGTCACAAATATTAAAAATAATGTTCGGATCAATTGAGTTAACCAAATTGCTTCAATGCCCTAATTGATTAAGTCAACCGAGCTGACTACAAAACAGTCAAGAATGACCAACCCGGGCTAGGTTCGGTTTGCTTCACCTTTTTTTATAAAGCAAGAACAGAAATTCAATTTTTTTCCTACAAATACAGAGCAGGAAAGGGTAGCTCAGTACAAACACCAATTGACCTCAAGGCAAACAAAAGAAAATAAAGAACGACAAAGAGAGACTCTCGACAAGTCTTACAAAATAACCATCCAGCTTAAAACTATTATGTTCAGTAAATAATAGCACATTCATTACCATACTTTATTTACACCAGCTGAGTAGAAAATCTATAAGCATTTCAATAAACATCAAAGGAGTTGTCACTAGTTACCATCAGGTCAACATAAGGCTGATACCTATAACCTGAAAGAACATCGCAGAAGATCCATTGTCGAGCTAAGTGTCATCATCTTCTTCTTCTTCTTCCCATTATGGTAGAAAGATGATTGCAGTCTTATTTGTGTTCAAGTTCACACTAGCACACGATCACCATAGATTTCCTGCAACAACTTCATTTCCTTTTTTTTTTTTTTTTGGGGTGGGGGGGAACTAAGGTTTAGAAGCCAAAGTTTATTTAAAGATGGCAAGAGGTAGTTGTAAATAGCGTGGCCGAGCAATAAGCAGCTTCAAAACTTCTCGAGAGAAGAAAGCCACCTCTCCATGTACTCCCTACCCACTGCCAAATATAAATAAAATAGATATTAAAAGTAAAAACAAATCCGAATGAACACCCAAAATAATCGGCATACTGAAGAAGCTCAGCTCAAAACTATGTGAACTTAAGGATCTTTCACAGTTGAAGCATGAATTGCTATATCAGCCATTTCCCTTCAATTCACGCTAGTTCATTCAAAAGATGCAAAACACGGTTTCCATAACCCAAAAAAGCTCCATTTGTTAGTAATTGATGTGAAGAAATGAGTTTGCAAAGTTTTACACCTTTTGGTACCTTCACATACCGACTTTTCCACCTTCTTGCAGATAAGGCAACATATATTTCTTAACAGTTTCCTAACAGTCTGACTCAAATCCATAATATAGCTTAAAAATGATTTTACAGCATACTGGGTATCTCGACATCCATCACAAACCAGCCTAAAGCATCTCACTTTTCACAGAGAACAATGAAGATACAAAGACTGACAAAATAGATCAAACACAGGCACTTCAAAATCAAATAAATAAATTAACTCATAAGTTAAAGAAATGAACTTTCTTCTTGGTGATAATGCCTAGGAACCCAAAATCAAGCTGCTGCAGGAACCAACCATTGAACAACCAAACGAAACAAATTCAAAGCATTTTTATTTTTTCCATATCCTAATGCAATATTCTCTTTGCTGATTAACATATAGCACCATATCTGTTAAGAAACAAGATCATCCCCAACTGAATCAAAGATGACACCTACAAATAAAGAAAATTATAAAATGCATCCTAATTCTTGCTTCAGATGACCACTTACCATCAGAATAACCATTAGGACGGTTTTTAACTGCGCCCAAGAACCGCATACCGCTGCTAAACTCATTTCCCTCCAATTCCTGGCAATCACGCCTATAGCAAGGGACCAACACAGCAAAACTGTTATCTAAATCACCATCACATTGAAAACCGGGATCGTGTGGCTCGAGCCACCCGATCGACCAATCAGAGTCGTCAGATTCAGACTCGGACAAACAAACACCATCTGATGGCACCAAAACTAAATCATGCTCTCTATCAATCCTTTTGCCACTATCACCCCTCCTCTTCCATTTCCTCTTTGCCTTTTTCCTGTTCGAATTCGAAGGAGGAATTCTCTTGTAATTGCTGCTCATTGAGTAAAGTTTGAGACTTTCAGGTTCTCCTCTCAATCCTAAACCACTTTCATCCAAAGAATTTATAGAATTTGTCGATGACCCATTTGAAACTTGGCCTTTAGCTTTCCCACCCAACCACAACCATGAAAATCTAGTGAGAGAAAGAGCCATGTTTCTCTTTCCACCTTCTCTCTCTCTCTCTCTCTCTCTCTCTCTCTCTCTCTCTCTTTTTCCCTTACTAGGGAATGTAAAACCAGTGGCAATAAATTTAAAGATAAACAGAGTGATCAAATTTGAGGCAGAAAGAATTCAGGCAAGAAACCAGAAATTTCCTCAAAGACACAACAAAAGGGGAAAAAAAAAATGGATTTGATCAAAACTTCAGATCAATCAATTGAAGCACCGAAAGGCAATATATAAAGTAGCTTTAAGGAAAAGCCAAAACATCGGACACGAAATGCGAAAGTAGCACCAAGCAATTGACTCTGTAAGTCTCTTCAAATGCTCACAGGGCAAAATTTCCACAAAAAAAAAGTCCAAAAATGTTGTCTTTTTTAACAGATATTAAGGTTCATTCACGTCGAAGAAACACGCAACCATGTCGACAGGATGAGGAACTATGTCGAGTCGAGTGGACCAAATTCAATGAATCCCAAACAATCATAAATCTCTTCAACGGCTCAAAGAGTCCTAAACAGGCAGAACAAATTGTGAAAGATCTAAACTTTAAATAAAGAAAATTTCTTTATCTTTTTTTTTTATTATATATATAATTTAGCAAATAAAACTCAACAAAAAATGATTAAAAACGATGGTATTTAGAAGACCCTTAAAGACCGTCTCAACACCCACCCGCAAAAATTGGAACTTTCCGAACTCCCAGAACAAAAATCAAACGGTGAAACCGCCGGATAAAAAGAAACTTTATCGGGAATTTGGGGACCCCGCGAAAATATCACCGGAAAATCCGAAACTTCTTAGCAGAAAATTGAGAAGCCAGTAGTAAACCCGAGTAAATAAAAGTGGAAAATGAGTATAAAAAGCTTCGAAACTTGAAGAGAGGAAGATAATATCAGTCTATGTAATGAAGAATACTCTCTCTCTCTCTCTCTCTCTCTCTCTCTCTCTCTCTCGATACTGCCTTATCCCATCTCCACACACCCCAAGGTTTCTCGGGTAAGAGAAAAGAACTGAAAGTCTTTTTTCGGCAGTGAAGAACGATTTAGACGTAGTTAATGTTTAGTTGTTTACGTTTATGTGTTGGGAAACTTGGGATAGATATGTTATTTTGTTGCTGGTATTGTATTAATGTGAGATATGATATGATTGTTTGCCTCATTTTCATAAAATTACGAAATAGTCCCTGGATTTCGATGAGATCATGGACAACTATAGGTTGCTCCACCCACAACCGTAGGGTGCGTTCAGTGACTTCCATGGATTGTTTTAGATCATCTTTAGCCATCTACTTTACATGTTTATTTTACTATGCCATAGATAATGTCAAATTTTAGAGTATACCTCGTGAGAGTTGAAATGATTAAACTCTGATGGATTGAGTCAATGAGTACGGGAACCGGCCTAGAAGACTCAAAGAGGAACCTTGATGTTACACTTAGGTAATAATCGTCCTACGACTCTCATTTAGAAAAAGTGACTCACGTAAAAAAAAAAGAAGAAAATGAATAAAGAGGGGTAAACTTGATCTTTTGCCATTGATATTATTGTTTATATGTTTGAGTTGGCTTGTAGTCCTAGTCCCTTAGTTTTGTCGGATATTTGCATTGGGGAATGGGAGTGCATGTATGATGCATGAGTATAATTGTAAAAGTTGGCTTGTGACGTCGGTCATGGGTGGAAGAGCAATGGACATGTTCTATTTTGTATGATTCGAGATTGTGGAGAACATATTTTCGAGTTGAATATTGACTATAAGGATCCCGGGGCAAAAATGAGATTGACATGCTTTAGGGCATGATAAATGAATGAGCAAATTTATCTTTTCTATAGGTTGGAGAGATTGTTTGCTTGAGGACAAGCAATTCGGTAAGTGTAGGGGAGTTGTGTTGTATGTTTTTGTTGTTATTTTGTGTGTTTTTAAGTATTTTATTTGATTTCGTTTTAGTTATTTTAGATTTTTCATGGTCCATTTAGTCATTTTTGCTCGTTTATGTGTTTTTGTGTGTTTTGGCGTCTTGTGCTTTTTATTTCTCTTTATGTCTTCTAATCTTTATGTCTTCTAAGAGATGCCGACACACTTGCAGCGGAATGCAGTTCACGACTGCGCCAACCCGAACTCACCAACGAGGCTTCATTCGCGACAGCACCAAGCCGAACTCGCCAGCGAGACTTCATTCACAACCGCGCCCACCCGAACTTTCCAGCCAATGCCGATTCGCTACCGGGCGAGTCCAGCGCCCCGAACTAGCACTCGCAGCGAGTGGCGCAACCCCACTCGAGACCAGCAAAATTCGGGCACGCTCGCTGCGAACTTAATTTCGAGACCCGGTGAACTGTTGTTTTCATTAAATGTGTGTGTTTTTAGTGTGTGTTTTTGGTGTAACTATAAATAGACTTGTTGCTTTGTATTTTTGGACACTCTCCCTCATTTTCCAACTTTTCAGTTGGGAAATTAGCTCTTTTTCCCTCATTTCTCTCTCTAGTTCATATTTGGAGCTCCAAGACTTGAGTTTTCTGGCGAATTTTTTGGCGGTGTCGTTTTTATTAAAGTTTTCAGCTTTTCAGTCTGATTTTCTTCGAGCATGCAATAGAAGAGTGAGTACTTAGTTTTAAGATTTATTCCTTCGTATGTGCTACTTTTTTTTTTAACTTATGAAGTTTTTCAAGGTACAATTGTTGTCTTGCATGAAAATTTGGGTAAATTTTGGATCCTTCTATTTTTCCTGCTTATCTAAGGTGATTTGGAGTTAATGCATACTTATCTTGTGTTAAAAGTTGAGACTTTGTTGTAAGCTTGATCATTTAGGTTAGAAGGCTCATTTTAACATCTTAGGATCTTAGTATTCGCATGTTTCTCTTTGTTTATTTTTGTTTTTCTTGAGTTTTGGAGACTCTGTGCTAGTAACTTTCGAATCTTTAGTTAATTGCTTTGAATTGCCTTAGTTTAATTATCTTAAAAC